AGAACTTTTTTAATGAAAGAGAAAAGAGGATGAAGAGTTGGCTCAGTGGTTAATAACACTTATTCTTGCAGAGGATCCAGGCTTGACGCCCAACACACACATGGCAGCTCACAACCACTTGTAAGTCCAATTCCAGGGGATTCAATGTCCTCTTCTGACTTCTGCAGGAACCAGGCACGTATGTGGTACAAAGAAGGCAACACACACAGAAAATCAAAGCAGCTCTTTAAGTGAAAAGACGGCCTGTGAGACAGCTCAGAACATGCCATCGAGCTTGACCACCTGAGTTCAACCGCCAGGACCTACGTAGTGGAAACAACAGTTTTCCATTAGTTGCCCTTTGATCTCCACACATGTGCCACAGTACATGCCAACTCATACATAACACATACAATACAAAGCTGGGCATAGTTATGAAAGCCTTCAATCAAGGACTCAGGAGACAAAGGCAGTCAGATCTCTATGACTTTAAGGACAGCCTGGTCTACAGAGTGAGTTCCAGGACAATCGGAGCTACATAGTGAGACCCTGTCTGGAAAAGAAAAACAAAACAAAAAAACCACAGAAAATTTAAAATGAACAGAAAGCTTAGAGAACATCCACAGTAGTAAGAAATCATTCAAATAACAGTGATTCATCAACTCATGGTATCTCCAAGTTGTGTAAGACAAAGAACAACATGCACAATACTATACAAAAATCTGAAGTGTAGCTGGGCGGTGGTGGTACACACCTTTCAGTACTCAGGAGGCAGAGGCAGGCGGAACTCCAAGTTCCAACCTGTTCTATAGATGAGTATGACAGCACAGGACTACAGAGAATCCTGTCTCAAGAACAAACATCTGAAATGTACAAAAAGAACATCCCTTTATTTTGGAGGTGAGACAGTGTCATGTAACTGCAAATTCACTACCTGTAGCTGATGCTGAATTTCAACTCCAGATTATCCAGTTTTGTCTTTAGGAGCACTGGGATTACAGTGTGTAGTACCCCCACCTGTGATGAGCATTCCTTGTAAAGGAAAGCAAGGGTGGACATGACTGGTTACAAAAATGAGGACCTCTGTGAATTCCAGGTCAACATAGTGAGACTGTGCCTCTAAATAAAATGGATGGGTGAATAAATGTTGTTCCCTCTCCTTCCCTAGCACAGTTTGTTCTTAGAAATGAGCCTTTAGGAGTTGGGCAGTAGTGGCGCATGCCTTTAATCCCAGCACTAGGGAGGCAGAGTCAGGCGGATCTCTGTGAGTTCAAGCTCAGCCTAGTCTACAAGAGCTACTTCTACAAGGGCTGTTACTCTGTCTCGAAAAACAAAAGCAGAAAGAAAGGAGGCTTTGGTGTTTGAAACAGTTCTCAAGTCAATGACTCAAAACATATGTATTTCTGGTATTTCAGCATTCAGAATGACCCAAAGTGGCCATGGGGTTGGAGGGGGGGCACAAGCCACACCCCAGAAAGCCAATTCATTTCTTCTTTTTTAAAAGATACAGACTCACCAGCCAATGGTGGCACACGCCTTTAATTCTAACACTTGGGGGGAGGCAGAGGCAGGCAGATCTCAGTGAGTTTGAAGCCAACCTGGTCTACAAAATGAGTTCCAGGGTAGCCAGGACTGTTACACAGAGAAACCCTGTCTCGAAAACCAACCCGTCTCAACGCACACACAGGTGCACACACACAAGCATCTCAATGTAACTCTGGCTAGCCAAGAACTCTGAGATCTGCCTGCATCTGCCTCCTCAGTGCTGGAACTGAAAGTAGGTGCCACTCCACTTGGCTAATTTCTCTTTTTCAGACAGGATTTCATAGTTCAGGCTAGCCTGGAACTTGAGAGCCTCTTCCCTATCTTCTAAGTGTAGTTTAAAGGGATGTGCCACCATACTAAGCCCCACTGAGCGATCTAAGCAGGATGAAGATTAGAAAATGGCAAAAAAAAAAAAAAAGCACTACCACACAAGGCAAATATGATGGAGCACTCCCCAGGACTCGTGAGGCAGAGTCAGGAGAGTCTTGTGAGTTCAAAGCCAGCCTGGTCTATACAGTGAATTCTAGGACAGTCAGGACTCTTTAGAGACTCTGGGGAAAAAAAAAAAAGAGGAGAGAGATTGAGAGATTAAACGTATTAAAGTGAACAGACCACGTCTCAAGCTTTGATATTTCCTACATGGACCCCTAAAAGATTCTGTTCTTGAAACAAGCTTCTCGCCCTCTTCCAAGGCCATTAAATATCTACATAAATTGACTTCAATTCCCTACAGGGAGAGTGAAAGATACTTTAGGCACTAGATTCTAGGGCAGTAGTAAGAAGGAAGGTCAGTTAAAGGCCCATCGTTCCCATCTAAGTACCCAGAACTCAGGATTCCAGTGCATTCTCACTACACCCGGTGTCTGACTGAGTGGTCACTTCTCTAGAACCACTTCTGCTACACAAACAAAGCTGAATCACTGCAGCCAGTATACGAGTTTCCTTTGACTGCCTTCCCTCCTCCTCTCCCTTTCTACTGGATCCCTTCCTCATGCCAAATCACAAGAGTGCTTCCTACTTTATTTCCTTCCCTCCTTTAGAGTCTAAAAGGAGATGTAATAAACAGTCACTAAGTGGCTTGTCTACACTCCTATGTTCAATAATCAAGACCAGGCTTTGTTCAAAAGTCCTCAGCACTCAAATCTCAAGTATGACTTAAAATTAACTTGTCATTTATTTGGAAGCTATAATCATATATAAGGTTCCAAATCCTTTCCAAAAATGTCTTTTAGAAACAAACCAAAAAGCTTCACCCATACCTCCTTTGGGGGGGAGGGGTTATCACATTCACACAAAGCCTAAATCCCCACATACAAATGTAATTTCATGTTTCCTCCCAAGGACACTAGATTAAGGGACACTTCTCTGGGGAGGTGAGAAGGAGAAACCTCCACAACCAGCAAACTATCCTGGCTATAGACACTAAAATGAAGGCTGACCTTGAGCTGCATTTGTACTCTCCCCATCCCACCTCCTCCCACTCCCACCAGGAGCCTAGAGCAGTACAAACAGCAACTTAAATCTGTAAGACAAAATTTAGTTCAGTAGCTTTCCTACATTAGAGGTTTGGGGGTCTTCTGTTCTACTTTCCAAACACTGGAACAGTGATCTCTAACAAGACTAGTTCAAAAGCTGTGACAGGGCCAAAGGGGCTCTCGAGAAGGGTCTGACCTAACTTCTGGAAAACAAGTGGCTTAAGTAATTTGGAAAAAAATCTGAGGGACAACAGCACTTAGTTCCAATCATGTCTCATCCCACCTTAGCTCCCAAACATTAAAATCACAAGAACCTGCTTGCCTTAGTGCACATGCCCTTAATCCCAGCACTCAGGAGGCAGACTGGTGAGTTCGAAGCGAACCTGGTCTACATACTGAGTGAGGTTTCCAGACAGCAACACAGTGAGATCCTACCTCAAAAATAAATAAGTAAATAAATCACAGGAACCGTATATGCTATTTGTCACTTTAAAAATATCAGTTTGATGGATATTGCCTAACTCAAGTATTTAGGAACAAAATTAGGGGAAGAAAGGCATAAAAATATATAAACTGCCTACAACTGATTAAACACAATGGATATTTCGATGAAATACAAAAAAAAATCAAATTAGCACGAGCTAAGGATATAGGTTAGTGACAAAGAGCACTGACCTAGCATGTACAAGGGTTTGGGTTCCAGTACCTGAGGATGAGGGGGTGTCGAACGAACAAAGAGTAATTATTAAAATGTGTACATAAAACCATTTGCTTAAAATGGATAAGAGAGTTAGATTGTATCTAAATACTTGAGCACTTGCTTTGCAGGCATGCCACCCAGTTCGAATCCCAGCCTTGCAACAATGAAGTCATAAAACAGAAAAAAAAAAAAAAGGACGATCTCTTAATTCAAAATTCCCAAGCCTCAACCGAGTGCTCAAAAATAGGTTAAGACCCCCAAGCCAAGCAAAACGCATTTTATTTGAATTAACTATTTTTCAACAGGTCTTGCCATGTGTCATAATGCTGAGTGTGAATGGTAAAGTCATCTCTACAAACGGGTAGACTGAGGCACGGGCACTGTAAAGGGCACTCAGTAGGTACTAAAGAGTCCTAGCAAGCTCAGTCTCCTGTAGTCTAGTCTTCCCATTAGAACTCGATGCTTCTGAAGGTTGAAAAACAAACAAACAAACAAAAAATACCGCAGGAACTTTGGGGTATCCTGGGTGAGAACAAAACGTTGCATGAGTGAGGTCCTACACCTCCCGGAAGGAGGCGAGGCAGAAAAGCCCCAAAGCCCTCAACTCCGAGGTGCGCCGGCCTACGGGAAGAAATCCAATCGCAGCATCTCCGCCTGCCTCCACCCAAGGATGATCCCGCAGTGATTTCTACACACTCCGCCCTCACCAAAGACCACTCCCCACCACCGGCCCAAAGAAGCTGTCCGCTCCCGAGGCTTCTCCTTTGTGAGGCTCCACGGCCGCCGCCCCACACTGGGCCTCCGGGGAAAAGCCACCGCCCCCACCCGCCATATTTCCCTGAAAGGCGCCCGCGCTACAGCTCCCTGGATTCCGCCCTCTCCCGAGCGGCCGGTGCTGCTGCTCACATCACCCCACCCGATTGTCCTCCACATCCCGCCGCGGTCCCCAAAGCTCCCGTGGGGATTGCGCGCCGGGACAAGGCACCCGCCATCTCCTCCCCCCTCCCCCGCCCGGGGACTCGCCCTCCCCCTTCAGCCGCCATTTTACAACCAACTCCTCCACCCTCCACCCCGGCCTGCTGGCTGGCGAGCGTCTGCAAGCTAAGGACACCGGAGGGGTCAAATCCCTGCGCCCGGAGACTCCCACCGCCTCGGGGGCCCGCAGCCCATTTCCTGCTTCCCGACCCACGTCCCGAGCCAGGCTCGGAGACGATGCCGCCATTTTGTCTCCGGTTCCCGGCCTCTGTGGGCGGCGGCGGAGGGTCCGAGACTTCCAGCCCCCCGACACCCCCCCAACTCACCGTCGTATCGCTCGGCCTGCTCTGCCAGCTTCGCCTGGTACACCAGATCCTCCCGATCATCCATAGCGGCAGCGGCTCCGGCAGGGTCTGCGCGACGGATGGAAGCGGATAGCGTCTCCGACTCTCAGCTTCTCGCTCCGCGTCCGAGCAGTAAAAATGGCGGCGCCTCAATCCGGGACTTCCGCCTGCGCACGCGGACAACTGCTCAGCTCTATGGCAACCGCTCCCTGGCAACTGGCGCGGCGGGGCGGGCCCGGGAGTTCGGCGCCAGAAAAGGCTGGAATCAGCACGGCTGACGCCCCTCCTCCGTCGGCTCAGCGGGCGGCCCAGCAGCAAGGCGGGAACTGCAACTGAGAAGAAGAACGGCCCGGGACAGCTCGAGAGGCTGGAGGCAAGGTCGGCCGAGACTGGGCTAGGAGCCTGCTCGGTGACACAGAGCGAGACACTTCATGGTTTCTTGTAACCTCACTCACTGTGCACGCTTGCACGGTTTTCTCATCCGTACGCCTCTTTCAGGTCCTTTTAACCTCTATGTAAAGAATTGGCAGGTGAACAAGGGAGGGCTCCAGTTTTCACGCATCAGCTTTTCTCTTGCTCACACACTAAGTTTTTCTTCTTCCTTTGAGCCCTATTTTATCACTATGGTCCATCATAGATGGGATTTTGTTAAAAGTCCCTGGTTTTAGCTGGGTGGTGGTGGCACACACCTTTAATACCAGCTCTTGGAAGGCATTGACAGGCAGATTTCTATAAGTACTCGAGACCAGCCTGGTCTACACAGTTCCAGGACAGCCGAGGCTACCCAGAGAAACCCTGCCTCTAAAAAAACAAAACAAAAAGTCCCTGGTTTTGTCTTACGGGTATATATGCCTTTAATCTTAGCATTAAGGGATCTCTGAGTTTGCGAGCAGCCTGATCTACAAAACCAATTTCAGGTTAGCCAGGGCTACACTGTGAGACTCCCCCATCTCAAAAGGAAAAAGAAGTGTGTGTGTGTGTGTGTGTGTGTGTGTGTGAGAGAGAGAGAGAGAGAGAGAGAGAGAGAGAGAGAGAGAGAGAGAGATGGGGGGAGTGTTTTTCCTAGGTAAGCGTGGTACATATCTCCCCTCCCCATCTGTACTATGGTGGCAGAGGCTGAAGCAGATTGGATTAAGTATCAGGCACTTGAAGCCAAGCCAGGCTACATAGGGAAACCCTGACTCAAGGGGAAAGGGGAAAAAGAAAGTGGCATGCCTAGTTTGGAGTGCAAGGTGCACAAGAGGGGGAGTAAGGGCAAACTGACATTAAATAGCTAGAAGTAGATAATCCTCAATGGCAATGGCCATCATATTCTGCCTCCCAGTGGATTTCCAATACCTTAATATCTGTCGCTGAGCCATGGAGGAAAAGGACCTCAAAATAAGTATGGTGAGATGACTCAGAGGTTAAGAGCACTGACTATTCTTCCGGAGGTCCTGAGTTCAAGTCCCAGCAACAACATGGTGGCTCACAGCCATCTATAATGAGATCTGGTGCCCTCTTCTGGCCTGCAGGCATATATGCAGATATAAAACTGTATACATAATAAATAAACCTTTACAAAAAAGAAATACAAAGATTGGAATTGACTGGGCAGTGGCGGTGCACCCCTTTAATCCCAGCACTCTGGAGGCAGAGGCAGGAGGAACTCTCTGAATTCTCATACAGCCTGGTCTACAAAGCAAGTTCCAGGACAGGCAGATCTGTTACACAGAGCAACCCTGTCTTGAAGAGGGAAAAAAAAAAAAAGAGATTGTAATCAAATTATGATAGGCCTGAGGTCACGAGCCAAGAGGTATGTATTTTAGTCTGTGAACAAAAGGGAAATATTATCCGGTTGGGGTGCACGCCAGTAGGATTTGCTGAAGGAGGCAGAGGCAGGAGGATCACGAGTTCGAGGCCAGCCTGGGCTACACATGTAAAAAAATAAAAAAAGAAGGGAAATATTATTTTGTTGTCCAAGTGCTGGGAACTGACCCCCAGTGCCTCCAGCATGTGCTTTACCACTGAGTTGCAGTCCTGTTCAGGTGAGTTCTATTTTACTGATTCCAAGTGGAAGGTGACATCATCATGATTAGACTTAGGAAGAGTATTGCATATTTGCAGAAATGGTGATGCACACCTATAATTCCAGCACTGTAGAAACAGGCAGAAGGACTGTGACAAGTTCTAGGCTAGCCTGGACTATAATAATGCCCTACCTCAAAACACTCAGAGAAAAAAGAAAACATTTCAGTAAAACAAAGCAGTAATGAACAAGAATGGTAAATTTTATCATATTACAAAATATAAGCAAAAGGTACTCAATAATAGCCTCTGGATAAAGAGGAAAGGATGGAAGGAATAGCATCACAGAAAAGCCACAAGACTTTGTACGTGACCAGTTGCTGTGGGACAATGGTCTTGTATCCTGTAAAGATTTGTCACTTGTATTGGTTTAATAAAATGCAGATTGGCCAGTAGCCAGGCAGGAAGTATAGATAGGGCCACTAGAACAGGGGAATTCTGGGAAGAGGAAAGGCTGAGTCTATAGTCATCACCCAGAGACAGAGGAAGCAAGATGAGAATGCCTCACTGATAAAAGGTACCAAGCCACATGGCTAACACAGACAAGAATTATGGGTTAATGTAAGATGTGTTAGTTAATAAGAAGCCTGAGCTACTAGGCCAACCAATTTATAACTAATGGAAGCCTCTGTGTGTTTCTTTGGGACTGAACGGCTGAGGGACAGGGTAGGACAGAAACTTCTGTCAACAACCAGCTATGGGAAATAATGCAAAAATTGACTTCCCATCTTTCCATCCTGTCACAGGAAAGAGGAACAGTACCAATAACAAAAAAAAGTAGAAATACAGAGCTGAATATGGTAACTCACATTTAGAATCCCTGCCCTGAGAGACTGAGGCAGGAGGATTGCCATGACCTTGAAGTCAGCCTTGGTTACAAAGTTCCAATTCCAGGCCAACTTGGGCAAGAAAGTAACACTGTCTAAAAAGCAAACAGGCAGGCTACAGGTGGTAGCACACGCCTCTAATCCCAGTACTAGGAAGGCAGAGGCAGGTGGATCTCTGAGTTCTAAACCAGCCTGGTCTACAGAGCAAGTTCCAGAACAGCCAGGGCTTCATATTCTCAAAAAAATACAAATAATAATAATAATAAAGAGCAGAAATTTAAGAAGAGTTGCTGGCTGAGAGAATACAGAGAAAAACATTAGTTCTCTTAGCCCATGATGTTTCAAGGTTCCCCAAAGATTACACTGGTGGAATGACAAGCATGAAATTGAAAAGGAGGACTGATAAACCTGGTGTGGTGGTACATACCTGTAGTCCCAGCACTGAAGACACCAAGGCAGGAAGATTGGAAGTTTGAGGCCACACTCAGCTACACATCAAGCATAAACCCTCCCTGGGTATCGCAAGGTGCATTTTCCTAGCAATCAAGATATTTAAGAATATTATATCACTTAGGCAACTGTGTTTCATTTGCTGTAGTCGGGTTGGTTTTGTTTTTTTAAGATTAATTTATTGTAACTATGTACATAGTGGTTTTGCCTGTGTGTAGGTGTGCATCATGTATGTCTAGGGCCCTTGGAGACCAGAAGGGAGCTTCCTTGGATCCTGTGGTAACAGATGGTTGGGAGATACTATATGTGTGCTGCAAACTGAACCCAGGTTCCCTGCAGGAGCAACCAGTGCTCTTAATTGTTGCTCATCTCTCCAACCCCTGTAAATAGTCTTCAAAAGTTGGAAAAATCAAGTTCTACAAAATGTAATTTTAAACTATTCCAATAAAGCTGGAGGGAGACAGGGAGTTTGACAAAAACAGGTAAACACTCCCTGAGTTACATGAAACTGTCTCAAAACAGAAAGGGCAAGGAGGGGCGTGGCAGGCAGATTGCACCCCAAGAGGCTCTCCACATGCCCGTAATCCCAGCCCTTCGGGAAGCTAGGGATCACTTGAGTGCAGAGTTCCAGGCCAGCCTACAAAACACAGACCTTTCCTCAAAAAGAAGAGCAGTGAGGCTCTAAAGAAGGGGCCAACAGGAAGGCTCAGTGGGTAAAGGCCTTTGGGGCCAAGAAGACCAGAATTCAATTCTCAGATTCCACAGGGTATCATTAGATAATGAATAATAAATAATTTATTCACCACTAGATGAATAAAATCCAAAAAAGATAGTTGGAGGCCAGTTTGGTCTACATGGGGAAAATGTGTGTGTGTGTGTGTGTGTGTGTGTGTGTGTGTGTGTGTTGTAACTGGGTCTTACTATGTAGCTCTGAATGTTCTGTAGTTCACAATGTGGACCAGGCTGACCTCAGACTCAGAGATGGCCCCTGCCTCTGCCTCCTGAGTGTCGGGACTGATTGTGTAGGCCACCATGTCTAGCTGTGAAAACAAATCATTTTATTTTAAAGGTCTATTTTATTTATTTTTTAATATCTATTTATTATGCATACAATATTCTGTGTGTATGGCTGCAGGCACCAGACCTCATTACAGATGGTTGTGAGCCACCATGTGGTTGCTGGGAATTGAACTCAGGACCTTTGGAAGAGCAGGCAATGCTCTTAACCTCTGAGCCATCTCTCCAGCCCCTAACGGTCTATTTTATTAATTTCTTTTGAGATAGGGTCTCACTATATAATGCTGGATAGTCTGAACTCAATTTGCTGACCAGATTGACCTTGAATGCACAGAGATCTGGCTGTCCCTGCCCACTGATTAGAGATTTGTGCCAAACTTCTTTCTTTCGTTTTTGTTGTTGTTGTTGTTTTGTTTTGTTTTGTTTTTGAGCAGGGTTTCTCTGTGTAGCTTTGGAGCCTGTCCTGGAACTTGCTCTGTAGACTAGGCTGGCTTCGAACTCACAGACATCTGCCTGCCTCTACTTCTCAAATGCTGGGATTAAAGGTGTTCACCACCACCGTCCAGGGCAAACTTTATTTTATTTAAACAACTAAGCCAGGTATGGTGCCACAAGTGTGTACTCCCTGCATTCAGGAAGCTGAAGCAGAATGATGTACAGTTTGAAGCCAGTTTGTATTAATCCTGAAAAGGCCACCATACATATTTCTTTTATTGGTTGTTTGTTTTTTTTTTGAGATATATATTTCTTTTTAAAAATAGAGTGGGGGACTGGAGAGATGGCTCAGAGGTTAAGAGCACTG